TGAGCCATAACTACTCAGAATACTATGGGTTCTTTAAAGCACATCAATTTTTGTATGTGTACAAATTAATGTACACCCAATGCACACAGGAGTACATCCTTTTTTTTAAAAAAAAAAAACTGTCTCCAGTGAGAAACTCATGAGGGTAAACTCATATTCACTGTACACACATTGCCAAAGTTATTTTTAGGGGTATTCTGGGAAATTATGTTCCATAAGGTGTGGAGTGTTATTCACTGGCAGTTGCATATATTTATATAGCTTTCACCCCTCAGATCAAAATCCATGCTTAATCAATATTTCAATAGATTTAATAGTACCTACCTAAGAGTTAAACTAAATGATGGTTTTACTGTCTTTTGGGCAAAGCTGCTCCACCAAGTGGTGAAATATGTCAGTTTGTCATAGCATGAAATTTTCTTTACCTAAATATACCATATTACATTTGGCATTCTTTATTTTATGATTTGTCACTGGGAAATAAATAGGATTACCTTTGGAAGTTTGATCAATGTGGCATGTTTCTCTGAGAAAATCATCCATTCTACTTAATATCTAATTTGACCCTAACTTCATTTCTTTTTTGATGTTGGAATTCTGAAATATTTTTATGATTGCTAGATAATCTGAGGATGTTTTTTATGATTTGCTGTATTTGTTTCTCTTTTATGCTTCTTTAATCTTTATATTTTAAGACCATTACCCCATATCCTAATTTTGTGTATGTGTGTGTGTAGATTAGTCACATGGGGTCAGAGACATATAGTGATGGATAAGGATGTCATGACACTTTAGATGTGGGGTGCCTCTGAGTTTCAACCAGACTGACACCCTGTACAGACCGGCCAAAAGAGCCGGCCTGGAGGTGGAGTTGGGGTGTGGCAACTGCACGCTAGCTGCCCCGACTCTGTCCCAATGCCACCATCATGCCGCATGCCTCACCACACACCGTGTGGCATCAGGCTGCTCCTTTGGCGCAGCGTATAAACTCACTGCACAAAAGGAGTGCAGAAAAGCCATCGCCGCCATGGAAAGGGTGGCTTTTTGCAGCTTCAAAAGGGAGCGGCAAAGTGTCAGATCAGGGCCATGGTGTGCGGTTGCTGCAGCCCCGATCTGGTGCTCCCAAGGGCATCATGGAGCCACCCCTTAGGGGCTGTCTGTAGAACCCCTGAGTAAAGGCATGCTTCATGGGTCAGACAGATGTGAGGTGTTAGGCCATCTCAGGTAATTCATATCATTAAGCTACACAGTCAAACATATTTGGCTTCACAGTGACATACCTTGGAAAATGAAGTCCATCATGAAGAAGAGCAGCATGGATTTTGATGGTACCAAAAAGCTGTTGTACTTTTTTGGTGATATCTTCAAATATGCATTAAAGCTATCACCAGAGAGAGAAGGAAAGAGAGAGAAAAAAGCCTTTTGGTACCATCAAACATCAAAACAGTTATTGAAAACAGTGATTATTTTGGGCTTGGCTCAAGACTTAAAGTAGAAGACAAATGAGTGGCCAGGCCAATGCACGTCCATAATATTTCAGTATTTATACACACACTGGGAAATCTATTTCACTGTTGAACAGTTCTTACAGTTTAAAAGTTATTCCTAATGTTTAGGTGGAATCTCTTTTCTTGTAATTTGAATCCATAGGTTCAGGTTCTAGTCTCTGGAACAGCAGAAAATAAGGTTGCTCCACCTTCTAAATGTCATCCCTTCAGATATTTAAAGAGGGCTATCATGTCACCACTTGGTCTTCTCTTCTCCAAGTCTCTGAATTGAACTAAAAAGGATGATCACTTAATTTGCATCCAGGTGCATGCACATCTCTTGATCAGAACAACTAAAGGCCTAAGCAGACTGTCAGAAATAGTGCACATTAAATCGAGGCACTGCCCTGGCTCAGTGCTAGGGAATCATGGGAACTGTATTTTTTTCTGGGACATTGAGCCTTCTCTGTGAGAGAGCTCTGGTGCCACAATAAATTACAGTTCCCATGATTCCCTAGCCCTGAACCAGGGCAGTGCCTCAATTTAATGTGCACTATTTCTGGCAGTCTGCTTAGGCCCTTAGTTTAACGTTTAATGCAGGGTAAGAATTTCTCCAGAACTGTCCCATTAAACCAGAGGCAGGCAACCTTTCCCCTTTAAGGGCCGAGGGACTTCAGCTCCCAGAATCCCAGGAGCTATTGGCCAACATGAGACTACTGGCCAACATGGCTGAGGCTTCTGGGAGCTGAAGTCCTTCGGCCCTTAAAGGGGAAAGGTTGTCTACCTCTGGTTTAATGGGACAGTTCTGGAGAAATTCTTACTCAACCATAAAAAAAGTGATTTAAAAATCTTTTTAAAAGACTGATAATCTGTAGAGGGAACGGTATGCAATTCTGTTTGGATACAGAAGGTCCAAGGTCAAATCTCCTACATGTCTAACTGAAAGCACTCAAAATAGGAAAAATGGGGAAAGACTTCTCTTTCTCTAAGGCTGGAGGCTTCTGAATCAGAAAAGACAACACGGATAGACTGATCAATGTTCTGACTCAATAAATGGCAGGTTCATGGGACATTAGGGACTTTAACTGGGCAAGCTTAGTAAAATGAAATTAAATTGATGCTAGAAAAATAAAAATGTTATTGCATAATGGGGGTGACAGCCAGCGTGGGTTACTAGTTTGAGCATTGGACTATCCCCTTGCAAACCAGGGTTCGAATCCCTGCTGAGTATGGAAACCCAGTGTATGACCTTAGGCAAGTCACACATTCTCAGCCTTAGGGAAAGGCAACGGCAAACTTCTTCTGAACAAACCTTTTCAAGAAAACCCCAAGATAGGTTCGCCTTAGGGCCACCATATGTAGGAAATAATTTGAAGGTGCATAACAATGATAAATAATAATAATGGGGATGAGAGTGAAGATGAGTGACTGCTATGAAAAAAAGGAACAGAACTACTAACACTGAACTCCTGGTGTATGAACAAGAGTCAATGGGAACCAGGGGAGTAAAATGGTTGCATTGATTAAATTAACATAAGATATCACTAAGGTATCTAATTTTTTTTTTAAAAAAATGCAGGATGGCATTAATTCATCTTATATAAAATCAGTGACAGACACAACAATAACTAGCAAGTTTTTCTTCAAATTATGGGAATGATAGTGAAAAAGAGATTAAAATATAAATTGTTATTATAATGCATAATCCAAATATATTTTCAAGGTAGTATAGTCTGTCAATAATTACCGTATTTCCCGGCGTAAAAGATGACCCACGTATAAGACTACCCCCCATTTTCCAGTCAAAATATAGAGTTTTAGCACCTCTATCTTCATTATTCTTATACCCTGTGTATAAGACGACCCCCCCCCCACTTTAGCCACAGATTTTGCAGGTTAAAAGGTTGTCTTATACACCGGAAAATATGGTACACCTAACTGAATTGTTTCTTTTTTCTTTCTTTTTGTTTATTATTATTTTAAATAAAACAAAAATATCATCTCTCTCTCTCTCTCTTTAAAGAAAAGAGAAATTATGTGTTATAACAAGTTATAAATGATCACAAGTTGACCCGTGTTCACTGAAGGCTAAAATCTCCTATACACTTCACTGAACTAAATGGATATGCCTCTTGGGTTCAGTGTGCATGTGCTCATAGCAGGATGGAAAATTACTTTAAAAATAGTTAATCATAGTTATAATTTTAAGGCCCTTAAAGGTTAGCTACCATTATTGCAGGGGTAGGCAACCTTTCCCCTTTAAGGGCCGAGGGACTTCAACTCCCAGAATCCCAGGAGCTATTGGCCAACATGGGACTATTGGCCAGTATGGCTGAGGCTTCTGGGAGCTGAAGTCCCTCGACCCTTATAGGGGAAAGGTTGCCTACCCCTGCATTATTGCTACAAATGTTTAAGTAATCTTTTACTTTTCTTGCTATACTACAATAGTTACTTTTTAAATTACTTTTTATTTTGGAAAATCCAATGTTAGCGTACCCTACAACCCTGTAGCTGAATATGGGGTTTCATATTTTCATATTTGATAACTAGTATCAGGCATGTTTTAAGACAGGGGTAGGCAACCTTTCCCCTTTAAGGGACGAGGAACTTTAGCTCCCAGAATCCCAGGAGCTATTGGCCAACATGCGACTATTGGCTAACATGGCTGAGGCTTCTGGGAGCTGAAGTCCCTCGGCCCTTAAAGGGGAAAGGTTGCCTACCCCTGTTTTAAGAGGTCACAATGACCTTTGGAAAACTAGGAAGTTTCACGTGGGAAAAGCATACTGGCCTGAAGACATGTAGGAAACCTAGATGGTGCTCAAATAAACATTAAATGGGTTTGCTGCTTACTCCATCCTCCTCCAGTCACCCTCTCACAATGGAAACTAAGCGAATCCCATCACAAAGGTAGTTAAAGACCATAACTCTATATTGCCTCCAGGCTTTGTACCCTTTCATCTTTCCTATCTGACCTACACAAGGTTTATTGCAAATCCTATCAATGTTTTGTCACTCCAAAGTTACAGCCATCAGTCATTATGGGATCTTTTTGTCAATTCCATGGAAAACCTATCAAGTCTTTGTTATACTGTGTGGGAAGGTTAAGTATTCTTTGAGGTTACAAAACAGGATATAAATAATCACCCCACGCCTGACCAATTCACTGCTACAGACTGAGGCTCTGTCCCACAAACCAGAACTTTATGCTCTGTATAGCCCTCATATTACATCTGAGCCACTCTCCATCTTTCATGGAACCTTCTCTTCAGGAATGGCAATTATCACACCCTCTAACTCCTGATTTCTCACTATCCAACTCTTCACACCTCTCCTTTTCTATTAGGCTTGTGTGATTCTTAAGGTTGCATTGGTCTTGTGTGTTTGCATGCACCTTTGAATATTTCTAAATAACTAGATTACTGTACCACACTCTTATAGTGCTGCAATTCCACTTTAACTGCTGAGAGAGGCTGAAAGAGTGTGACTTGCCCAAGGTCAGCCAGGGGGTTTCCATGGCTGAGTGAGGATTTGAACCCTGATCTTTCAAAGTCCTAGTCCAACATTCAAACCACTATACCACACTGGCTCATCAACACAGAATGTTCCACATAGTAGACTGGATGAATTACTGTACGGTGGCGTAAGAGCTGAAAAAACAGTTGTTGTGTGACATTCTTCTGATTTCAGACAGTGACTATGTAGGATGTTTTCTGTTAACCAACAACATGTAGTTTTAAAACTATATTGTCAGCTTCTTACACTGGAATAATTAACACAGCCTTAATGTGTCAGAGGCATTGCCCATTAAACCATTGCAAACAATTAACTTGACAATTTTACTGTGAACACTTATCGCAAGGTCCCTTCTTGTGTGCTTGCCCTGAAGCCAATCAGTGATGATTATATGTCTGATTAAGCTGGGAGAGAAGGAAGATGGAGACCAATGGGAACAACCTGGGGCACTCTCCTAAGGGTTATCAAACAAATAAAAATTCAGCAATACCAAACTAATGCAGACTACAGCCTGAGCAAATAATAGAAAGCTGAGCTTATGTAGAGAAAGTTGCATCAGGGCCGGGAAATGGCAATCTTAGAAATAGTACTACTATTGGACCACAATTCCCAAAATCCTCCATCCAGTAGAGCCACTGGCTTATGACTGCTGTCTCTTATGGAAATGATTCACAAACATACACAGATTTAAGGCCTTTTGGTTTCAGTGGGAGATGCTGTGATGATACCTTTATTTGGCCACTTAAAAGCTTTAAATACCTCCAGGTCCCTCAGTCAAAGATGTTACAGAAACCAAGCAAGGGAAGGGTGGTGCAGAGGTTGGAGCACTTGCTTTTAATGAAGTTGTTTGTAGTTGTCTGCCCAGGAGATCTTCAAAGATTACACATACTGTTGCACAATTTTATTTCACCTAATAAAAATATTAGCCAGAAAGGGGGTTTTGAAACTTGTCCTATTGCCAATACAAGTGGCTATGCCCACTTTACAATACTGAAATCAATGTGATTTAGAGAGACATAACATTGGTGAGATAGTGCCCTTTGTATTTTGCTTGCATTATTACATGCTGAGGCACACCTGTCCCAAAAATGAATAAACAAACAAATAATTATAAAGTAATTGCATACTGGCATCAGCACAATTTATGGTGTAGTCAAGAGATATATGGTGGTGGTGAGGAGACAGCCAAAGAGTCATCATCTGGTTTAATCATAAATGCCACTGCAAATCCTTTATATATTTCAGCAGAAGGTAAATATTACAGATGGAGTAAAGGAAGATCTTTACCCATGGCCATCGGCATCAGCCAGCATGACATATGACTAGGAATTCTGATGACAGAAAACATCTGGAGCAGTGCTGCTCAGGCTAATTGATGTGGGGACTCACAAAACTCAATTGCAAACCACATAGCAAACATAGGATGGCTGATGGAGCATACGAAGAAATTCCAGAAAACAAAAATCACCTTGTGCTTTATAGGCTATAGCAAAGCATTTGACTGCAGAGGTCAAGAAAAACTATGGATGGTTCTTAAGGTCATAGGAGTGCCAACACCTCTGATAGTCCCGATGAAAAATCTGTAGTTAGGAAAAGAGGTTACTATCAGAACAGAATATGAAGAAACAGAATGGTTCCCACTTGGCAAAGGGGTCAATAACAACTACAGTGACTAATACCAGTACCATATTTGTCCCCACTGGCTACAACTATTTTTTTCTTTCCTGGACACTTGCCATGGACTGGTAGCTGACAGCTCATTGACTGGCATCAATCAGGAAACCACCACTTTGAGTAGCACTGATCTAGATGACCACAGACAAAGAACACTGGCCAATGGGATGGGAGTAAAAAAATGTTCAAGAGATTGCTCAAGACTGAGGGATGATGTAAGGATAAGCTGTGAATAGACAGTACATGACAACCAGTCATAGAAGCTATAGAAACATGGAAATATAGAATCATAGAGTTGGAAGAGACCACAAGGGCCATCCAAGGGAGTGTGTTCCACAGTTGACAGCTCTTAGTGTCAGGAAGTTCCTCCTAATGTTTAGGTGGAATCTTTTTTCCTGTAGCTTGCATCAATTGTTCTGTGTTCTAGTCCCTGGAGCAGCAGAAAACAAGCTTGCTCCATCCTCAATGTGACACCCTTCAAATGCTTAAACAAGGATATCATGCCACCTCTTAACTGTCTCTTCTCCAGGCTAAACATACCCAGTCCCCTAAGTCTTTCCTCATAAGACAGGATTTCCAGACCCTTTACCATTTTGGTGGCTCTCCTCTAGACACACGCCAACTTGTCAACATCCTTTTTGAATTTTGATGCCCAGAACTGGACACAGTATTCCAGGTGAGGCCTGACGATGCAGCCTAGAATCACACTACTGAGTCATGTTCAACTTGTGGTCTACTAGGACTCCTAGATTCCTTTTACATGTAGTCTTGTTAATCCAAGTGTCTCCCATCCTATATCTGTATGTTTCATTTTTTTCTACCTAAGTGCAGTACCTTACATTTCTGACTATTGAAATTCATTTTGATAGAGGGGAAGCAGACGGGCGGATCAGGGCCGAGGCATCCGCATTGCTCGGTCCCGCGGCACAGCTTTGTGGAATGAGCACTAAAATAGAGCTCCTTCCACAAATCACCGAAAGTGCGGCGCAAAAAGCTGCTGGCGCACCTTCGGCACCTCTTCCACTGCAGCGTGTGCAGACACTGCAGCGGAAAGGCATCCTCGGAGCATCGGCCGTGCGGAGGGCCAGCTGCTCTGACGACGTCTTCGGGAAGGGATTGGGGTGCCCAGCTTGTGGCTGCCCCTCCCCTTCCTTGCCCTGAAGACGGCGCTTTGTACCGTCTGCTTCGCCCAGGGGTCGGCAACCTACGGCCCCCGGGCCGGTTCCGGCCCAGGATGCCAGACTTACTGGCCCAGGCAGACCCCTGCCGCCGCCTCCGCCGCCCATTTTCGTCGGCGCACAACCGCGCGCGCTGTGGCCAGCATTTTGTTATCCAAAATGGTGGCCACGACACGTTTGTGCATTTGGATAACAAAATGCCGGCCGCGGCGCGTGCGGTCGCACGGCAACGAAAGTGGGCAGCGGCGGCAGCGGCGGCAGTGGCAGGGGTCCGCCTTGGCCGGTAAGTCCGGGGACCCTTGGTGGCAATGGGCTTCCAGGAGGCCCGTCGCTGCCAAGGGAAGCCTCCCCGCGCGCACCCTCCACCAACGCGCGCGACCCCCCATACATGCGGCTGCCGCCACGCCATGCACAGCGGCAGCATGTGCGGGGGTCACACGCGTCAGTGGAGGGTGCGTGTGCACCGCCATTCCCCCCCCGGCCCAGCCGAGACCTGGGCTACGGGAGACTGGCCTAGGTCTCCAAAAGGTTGCCTACCCCTGGTTTAGCCCCGTAGTTTTGGCCCAGCTTTCTAATCTACTAATATCATTTTGAATTTTGATCCTGTCCTCTGGGGTATTAGCTACTCCTCCTAATTTGGTGTCATCTGCAAATTTGAGAAGCATGCACTCTATTCTTTTGTCCAAGCCATTGATAAAGATGTTGAATAGCACTGGGACCAGGACAGAATCTTGTGGCACCTCACTGATCACTTCTCTCCAGGATGAAGAGAAACCATTGCTGAATACTTTTTGGGTTCGACTGGTCAGCCAACCAACATGCCCTCCAACATTTCACAGATCAAAGCAAAAATATGTGTGACCAATGAAAACATCAAGGTGGTAAAGGTGACAATAGTTAACAATGAGAAAGAACACACAAGTCAATAGAGGCTGCAGCAGTTTACTTTTGCTTGAGTTTACAGGGATGGGCAATATTCTGTCCTCTCCTCTCCCATCCTATTTAATTGAGTGCAAAATAACTTTGCATTTTGAACTTCATTTAATAATAATAATAATAATAATAATAATTTTTATTTGTATCTTGCCTATCTGTCAAACAATTGGAGTGGCTTACAACAGTTAAAACTCCATACCAATACAACTCCAAAAATCCCGAAACCCTCCCTCCCCCTAAAAAGAAATTAAACCAATATCAACATTAAAACCTATTAATTAAAACATCAAAGTGCAGTGATTGAAGTAAGCTGACAACAAAGGGGGAAAGTAGGAGTAGGGGAGAAAAAGTGGAACATTTTAAAAGCAACTGAAATAGTGGGATGACAGAAGATTAACTGGGACTGTCCTTGGCAAACTGGTACAGCTGGATCATGTGCAATAATCTGTTACTTGTAGCTGTAGCAGAGGTGCAGGTTTCCCCCATTGCTTGATCTGGGAGAAAAAGTGTTGTTGCCAGTTTCCTCTACTGTTATTCTTTCACGGCCACTCCTATGGCTGTTCCCTTACCACCATCTTACCAGCCACACTAAGCAGCCATCACTGCTCTCCACAGATAAACTATGCTCTGCTGACTTCTTAGAAAAAGGGTGGCCACACATGGTGGGTTGGCTATATGTAGGCTGCACCTGGTTTTTCCCCCAATCCCCCCCAAAAAAACCATCCTCAGTTTTCATTTTAAAAGGGAGGCTTGCACTCTTCAAAGCCTCCAGGCGCACTCACCTTACCCTTCTTCTTTAAAAAAAGAAAAGAAAATACACTCGTCCCTCCACATTTTTTGCTTTGACTTTTGCAGATTTGATTATCCACAGATTTTATTAATATGTTATCTCTAGGAATATCTAGGTCCTCCAGTGCAACTCTATGATCAACTTTAACCAAAAGTCGCACTGAAGGACCTAGAGATTTTTAGCTCCTCCGGTGCAATTCTATGGTCAATGTCTGGCAGGTGGTGACCACAGAGTTGCACTAGAGGGCCTAGAGATTCCTAGAGAGGTGTTTGGAGGTCTTTAAAGAGAGGTTGGATGGCCATCTGTCAGGGATGCTTTGATTGGGAGTTCCTGCATGGCAGGGGGTTGGACTGGATAGCCCTTGTGGTCTCTTCCAACTCTATGCTTCTATGGTTCTACTCTTAGATAAAAACATAGTGTTTTTGTTATTTGTGGCTTTTCCTCATTCACAGGGATCCTGTGTCCCTAACCTGAGTGAATGTGGAGGGACAAGTG